CCTTAAGGGCTACCCGAGGTGCATCACGTCTCCGTTTCCACAACCCGAGCTATGTTTTCCTAAAATCAAACGAGAAATCCTCTCTCGAGTTCATCCCCATTTACAATCAATTCAACTGTTGGCCAAACAATCGAAAGCATTTAATACAGGAAAACATAAACAGAATCAAAGAACGACAAATAGATCACAGATCTGGAAATCAAAATCAATATATACAAGGTTTCATTTCCCTAAAAGAAAATGCTCAGGTCATTACAAACATAGCATCAAAATGAAGAACACGAGAAATCATAAACTAAACGTAAAGAAAAGCTTATGAAAAACCCGAGTCGAAACCCTCGTCGAAGCTTCCCGCGAAGAACTGGCGAGAACCGAAGAAAAACCGAAGAAGAAGTCGAGAAGATAATCGAGATGTTGAAAAATAAAAAAGAGACCTTCTATTTATAGTGAAAAATCAAAGAAAAATATCTAGTCTCGATTTCTGTGCCCAGATCGCGATCTGGGATTCTTGGATCGCGATCTGGAAACCTCGAAAACTGCGCACCGCCTTCCAGATCGCGATCCAGGAAGTCCGGATCGCGATCTTCCCCAATTTTTCGCTGCTACTGGAATTTGCCACCAGATCGCGATCCGGTGATTCTGGATCGCGATCTGGCCTCTGCATTAACTTCAAACACTTTTTTCACCCTTTTTCAGCCCGAATTCGACAATTGTGCATTTCACAAAAGTTGTAGCCCTTGAAGTTAGCTTTCTAAATCCACTTGAATCAGCCCAATCGGAGGTCGTATGCAAAAGTTATGCTTGAAATACCAAACACTGCCACAATCCGCGAGAATGCACTTTTGCACGTGTTTGGTTTGATTCTCGGCTTCGCTTCCAAAATCGTCTCGAATCGGCAAAAATAGCTTATCTTTACCTAAAAATATAAATAAAACAAAAACAACATAATATATACAAATAAAGCCGAAAACTCGGACGAATGAAGACCAAAACACGAAGATTAGATAAGTAAAAGTTGTGCAAAACGAACACTTATCAATCATCAACAAACTGGGTGTCATCCGGTGGATATGGAACAGGAGAAACATTATACTGTGGTCGGATCCGCTCTTGGGGACTTGAGTATCCCAAATTGAGCTCCAAATGTGGACCCCATGAAGAGAACCGAGTATCAATAGCAGGAGGATATGGGGTAGCTAGAGAATCGGACCATGACATATCTGGAACGTAATCATTCGTAGATGGACCAACTAAATCTGTAAATGTGGGTACCTGAGATGTAGACGCACCGAACATACCCATAAATCCATGTGTAGTAGATATCGTGATCAGTAGGATGTGGTGGTATATGTTGTACCCTCCCAAACTGACGTAGCACCCTATACGGACGATGCATCTCAACTCTCTCGTAAAATATAAGGGGACAACTCGACAACCAAAGCTGTGGATGCACTATCTCAGGATACTCAAGTAAAGCGTCAAACTCAAGTCTAGTTCACTATAAGGCATCCATGTAAACTAGAAAAAAAAATATTTTTTAATATATTGTTAAATAGACCACAAACATTAACGTAATTGCTGTTAACTTATAAATAACTTGATCCCAGAGCATCCGATCGAGCGTCGTACGATAAACACGTATATTGTTTCGCGAGGGCCGAGTATATTGTTTTCCGTTAATGAGACATTTTGGGTCTTTGAGAAAATATAGAAGTGTTTATCGTACGTTGCCCGGTCTGTAGAAAATGTATCATGTTATATACAGATTGTAGCGATTTTCCACTGTTAGTGGTCTATTTTACTATTTTTGAAGTCAAAATATTTGATGTTAGCATGGGTGCGATTGGTGAACTTACTCGAGAAAATACCGGTGGAGTGGAAGATTATAAGGCACGTGACTGGAACGGTGAGAAATCATCTGATCGTATAAAAAGAAACCATTCTGTAAAAATAACAGAAGGGTTGAGGTTTTTAGTTCTGGAAATCAAACAATAATAAAGTCAAGATTTTATAGACAAGGAATTCGGTGATCGTGGTTCTGTGAAAAAAATAAAATAATTCA